ACACTCATAGATGGCGTATGAGTAACATTTTTTCCTGCTCATATTTCATTAAAAAAAAATTATTACGCATTTTCATTTGAACATTCACAATGTTTTTATTTATTCATCGATTTTCCTCGTTGGCATTTTGATTTTTTTATTTTTTGTAGACAAACAGGCCTAAATAAAAATTAAACCAATTAGCGAGATAGCACAATTAAACAAAAATTCAAATATCTCGAGAAAATGACCTGATCCAGAAAAACAGAATACAGATTCGTAATCTACGACTCAAATTTAAGTTTACGTGCTTTGGCATTTTTTGTGTCATTTGAAAACTTTCGTTTTTCCCTACGATGTAATTAGCTGCATATGCGTGTCGAATAATTCTTTTTGCTGGCTATCTTTTACTTAATGAAATTAAAAACCACTTATCTCTTTTTAATTAATAAAAATGTATTAAAAGCTCATTTTGATAAGAATTTCAAATATTTTTTTTAACATAATTGTGTATGTAACAATCTATTATACATTTTTCACTGAAACCAGCAGCTACAAAATTATAAAATATTTCCCGAATATTCTTAATAATCACTTAACTTAGTCTGTTATGCATTTTGAATTTTAAGTGTTTATATAAGCGTGTTTTAATCCTTATGAATAGGCATTTTAATCAACTAAAGTTATATTCCGCTTAAATTCTAAAAAAAAATCATCGCTCTTCTACTTGATAAATGTCAACAAGTCACTTAATCTCGGCAAGAAGACATCGGGTATGAGTTTCTTGTGTTCAGGATCAGAGGATTTCTTCCACAACTCAACATCATTCATTTGATTTACGCCCGTCCCGACGAGCATAGTTTGGAAACCACAATTAAAGCCCAACAAAATGTCACTGCTGCAACTAACATACAAAAAAGACGAAAAGAATACAATTTTTCCCACCAACCAAAAGTCTTTTCCTATGCAACACTTACCAATCGCCCACAATGAGCGTACGCCGCGGTTCTATGGTCCCATTCTCAATCAAATGCTCACAAATTCGACGATTCGGTTTGCCTATCACT